TCATATCGATCGATTCCTCAACCGACGCAAATTTCTCGACCAGCTCCAGCAAATCAAATTCAATTACAAACATTGGACACGATCGAAGTTATGCTACCCGAGGAAATTGTTCAAAAGAGTAGGCCGATATTACAGAAACGTGTCGGTTCCGCTGTGGATTTTACGGGATCGAATTTAAATTCTCCGGGTGTTACGACGTGGCCGTTGAAAAACAAAACCATCGGACAAGATCCGATAAAAAATAAAAAAGATTCAGTAAAAACATTACCAAAGAGTTCAGACGAGTTCCTATCCGAAGTTCAAAGAGAAGAAGAAAAACTAATAAACGCTCTTAAATCCGGAGTTATAATAACCGAAGAAGAATCATCTTTATCTTCCGATAAAGAAAAATTAGTTGATGATGTGGATTCTTCTTCCGTCACCGTTACGTCACCGAATAAAATGGTGGACGTTAATTTTGTTAAAAATCGTAATTTTTCAAACGCGACGACGACAAATGGCGGTTCGAATAAAAAAATATCGTCAGACAAAACCGTGTCGGGTGCGAAAAAAAAATTTGAAAGTGTTAATAAAAAATTACAAAAAGAAGATAATGATGATGATGTTGTTGTTGTCACGTGGAAAAATAAAAATTCTAAAAAGTGGATGACCGATAATAATAATAGTAGTGAAAAAAATAAAAATAATTTAAAAGGACGTAATAATAATAATAATAATAATGGCGGAGGAGGTGTAGTAACGGAAAACGTACCGCATCCGGAGCTTACAATACAACAAAAACAGCATATAAGGCAAGTAGGTAGTACCAATAATCCAGTTCGACCCTTTCTAACTAGAGGATCCGTTGCCGAAAGGGTTTTGATATTTGAAAAATGTCCGACGGAATTACTACTCGATAAAAGGAGGAACATATCGTCGGGTACCAGTTGGCGTTCTGAATTACAAACCAGAACACAGGTAAGTTCTAAAAATTTTTTAACTTGTTTAATTTATCATAAAGTTCTTGGCCAAAAAAAACCTTTCGTTTGTACTCACTTAAGAGTGGTCAGTGGAAAGAGTAGGAAGAGGGAGACCTCACACACCTTTTTTTTTTTTAAGCTTCGGTAATTCACTCATTCACTATAAGCTAAAAACCTTGAACGATGATTGTCCTCATCGATCCGATTGTTATGACACGGCAACCATATTTGATTTGATTTTCAATTCTTTATTAATATAATTCCAAATGAAAAAAAAAAAAAAATGTAGAAATTTGTGACGCCACAAGGCGAAGAGGGAGTGCCACTTGCCACAAATTATTTTTTTTGCAAAAAAAAAAAAACCAATGCCCCGAAAGAAAACAAAAAGAAAATAGAGGAAAATTTTCAATCATCTCAAACATTCTTTTTTTTTAACGTTTTTTTTTTCACGTCACCCACCGCCTTCTTCTATTATGACGTCATTAAAGTCATTTAAACAAAACGTTTTAACTAACTTTTATGTTTTCTTCCCCCTCTCTCCCTCCTTTTTTTCTTTATTCTTTTATCATTATTATTATTTGTAGTGATTTGTGCCTTTGGATTTTTCTTTTCAATACATACATCATTCATAACTAAACGCCATTTTTTTTTTGTTTTTGCCATAAAAAAAAAAGTGGTTGTAGTGAGTGATTATAATTAATTGTAAGTTTTGTCTTATACCACGTTTTTAACTTTATCCCGCGCATTAATTTTTTTGTACATTTGCGCAAGTTTTACCGCGCAACGATTAGGTTTGTTGTTTTTTCTTGTTTTCTCAAAATGTTTATTGTTTATTTTTTTAGGTTTTTTCGTTTAGGGTTAAATTAAAAAAAAAAAAAAAAAAAAAAAATTAATGAATGGATTAGTTTCTTATGTTGATTTTATACGAACGTGGACGCGGACGGACGGGTTATTATAAAACGGTTTCGTTTGTTTTTATTTATTTATTTATTTATTTATTTACGATTATGTAATTTGTAAGCTTTTGTTGTTATTATCATCATCATTATTATTATTATTATTCGATATTCGAATTATTTTACGGTGTGAACGAAAGTGAATTTTTTTTATTTTTTATTTTATTTTATTCGAATTTTCTTCTTTTTTTTTTTTTATTGTTATTAAATAATTAATTATTTAAATTATCCTCCTCTCGATCGAGTAATAAAACAATAATAATAATAATAATAATAATAATAGTAATAATAATAATAGTTTATAAATTTATTTATTTAAACAAATAATCATCATCGATTGGACAAAAAGAAAAAATTTTTGTTTGTGCGTTTCGATGATTTCGAAGGTTGAAAAATTAAAAAATAATAATAATAATAGTAATAATTATCATCATCATCATCATCATCATCATCATCATCATCATCATTACCATCATCATTATTATCATTATTATTATTATTAATTTGGTTGACCTTCGGAATTCGAGTTAACTGTTATTTAAAATATTCGTTTGACCTATTAAAAGTATTTAAAAAATTAATAATCCCTGAGAATTTTTTTTTTTTTTTTTGACGTCTTCTGCTTGATACGAGAAAGACCATTAAAATAAAATAATAAATATAATAATTAAATAATAATAATAATAATAATAAGGGACGGAGGGACGACGAGACAAACGACAAACGACAAAAGACAACGACAAAAAAAAAGTTTTTCGAGTTTTATTTTTAAATAAAATTTTTTTTCTTTTTTTTTCGTGGGGGGAGGGGAGAGGAGAGAGGAGGTAGGGGGTAAATTTCACCGTCGTTAAAAACTAAATTTATTCTTAAAAGGATTCTTCGCCACCGCCACCACCACCACCACCGTCATCACAGCCACATGTTTCCGGTTTTTTGTTCTATAAATAAAAAAAAAAAAGTCAATAAACTTTTGAAAAAAAAATTTACGGGGAAAATTATTATTATTATTATTATTATTATTATTATTATTTTAACGTACGTACTATTAAGGAAAACATCCTTATTTATCGATTATCGATTACTATCGATTATTATCGATTATTTAAATTTTTTCGATTAAAAGAAAGAAAGAAAGAAAGGTTTCGCGAAATTTAAATTTAAACATTTTTTTGTTTTTTGCCAAAAAAAAAAAAAAAAAAAATTTGTGGGATTAAGGAAAATTAAATTTTCATTCTTTCGTCGGCCATTTTACGCATGCGTCGAATTATTTTTAGGATTTTTTTACAAAAAAAAAAAAAAAAAAATTCTTTGTGAAACAAAAGTGTTTATAATATAATTAATTATTTATTTTATTTTATTTTTATTTATCGGGAAAAAAATTTTAGTTTAGTTTTTATTATTTTTCAACGTAATAAAATAAACGTTTGTAATAATAATAAATGAAAAATAATGGATGACGAAAAGGAAAAAAATGGCGTTCGGTTCGTAAATGTTTAATGATAATAATAATAATAATAATAATAAAATAATGTTTTTTAAATATAATGATTATGGTTAACGCTTTGAGAGCAGCAAGAACAAAACGAGGATGTTATGCGTGTGAATTTAATCAATTACAAAACGAAACAAAACTTAAATTTCCATATAACCCGCCAAAATGTCGTCTGCCACGTTCTTATAATAAGGTAATTTAAAAAAGAAAAAAAAAAATTTTTTTCAAGGGGTAGAGAAGGGGTTAATTCGACGCCGCCATTTTTATTAATTCTCTCATTGTTTGTTTGTTTTTTTAACGGTCAAAAATTGAAAAAATTTGTTTTTTTTCAAACTTTAAATAAGTCAAGGGCGATACATAAATTTTTATTTATTTATTTAAAATGATTTATTAATTTTTTGTGTAATAAAGATTGATATTAAGGCAACCAACGCGTTTTAAAAAAAAAAAAGCAGTTTCGTACCTGTTTTTATAAAAAGTAGGAGGTGGAGAAGAAGAAAAAGGACGAAGAGGAGGTTGATGATGATTGCATAAACATAAAACTTGTTACCGTTCATTTGAATTTATTTTGTAAATGTGGGCGGATTTTTTACTCTCTCGTGTGTCAAACTCGAATATATTATTTCTTAAAAATTTTTATTCGATAATTAAATTTAATTATAACTTTTGTTTTTTTTTATTTGCAGACGTTTACGAAAGAAAAAGAAAACCAAAGGCCGATACCACAATCACCGCCGCCTCATACGACTTTACAAAGACAAGCAAAAGCAAATAAAAATGTGTTCATACCGAGGTAAACAAAAAAAATTTTTTTTTTAATTTGAACTTTTGAACCCGGAAGTTTCCGATTCCTTTCCTTGCGACTTATTATTAATAATAATAATTTATCCTTTTTGTTTTATTAATCTTCGGGCAAACGGTAGGCCAAAACTTAAAAAGGAAATTCGTCTTAGTCGCGCCTTTTTTTTTTTGAATAACAACCGACATTTTGAAAATTATTTTCGTACATATATATATCACGATGTAGATGTAAAAATGTTTGACAGGATATTTGATTGATAAAACAAAAAGGAAATAATTACAGGTTTCGTATATTTTGAATGAAGGTTACCAACATAAAAAAAAAAAAAAAGGCGAAGCGAGTAAAAAAAAAATTAACGAGCTTCACTTGTTGATTGTGTGGGTTACGTGACAATAAAATAAAACATGTTTATTCATTTATCATTTTTTTTAAAATAAAAATGTCCGAACGAAGAGAAAAATCAAATTTTTTTTGTTTTTTATTTAAGGTTTTATTTTCCACAAGGAAAACCCCAAAATCAACAACAAATCGATACGATATTACAAAAATTATCAACGGATTTTCGGAATTTTCCCCTTGGGCAGGTCCCTCAAGATAAATTTCAAATCATTGTCAAAACATGCGAATGTCCACTTTATTGGAAAGTACCACTTTTCAAGGCTGCCGGAGGAGAAAAATTGGGATACGTCGACGCCCATACATTTCTCGATTATTGGAAACAGTGAGGAAACCTCCCCCTTTCCCCCTCCTTTTTTTAAAAAAATTATTATCGTTATTATTATCGTTTCCAGGCTAGTATCCACTTGTCACGATGCCGAATCTAAATTTTTAAAAATATTATCCAGAAACGAAACAAGGAATTTTCTTTTACCGGAAGATTTTATTTGTCTCATACAAGATGTCGTCGACACTCATCCGGGTTTGATTTTTCTTAAAGAAGCCAACGAATTTCATTCAAGATACATACACACGGTTGGTAGCAGTGGTAGTGGTGGTGGTGGTAGTAGTAGTAGTAGTAGTAATAATGATGATGATTAAAATTGCGCGTGTGTGCTTGAACAGGTCATTGCAAGAATATTCTATTGCGTTAATCGATCGTGGAGCGGAAGAATAACTCTACCTGAACTTCGAAGGTCGAACCTTCTTCAAATAATATCACTTTTGGAAGAAGAAGAAGACATAAATCAAATAACTCAGTATTTTAGTTACGAACATTTTTACGTTATTTATTGTAAATTTTGGGAACTCGATAGAGATCATGATCTTTTCATCGATCGGCAAGATTTGACGAGGCACAACGATCACGGTCAGATGATGATGATGATGACTTTTTGGTGTGAAATTATAAGTTTCTTATTTCTTGATTTTTTTTTTTTTTTTGTAGCATTATCTTCTAGAATGATCGATAGAATATTCTCAGGTGCAGTGACGAGAGGTTGTGCAAAAACAACAACACAAGATAAAATGAGTTACACGGAATTTGTTTGGTTTCTTTTATCCGAAGAAGACAAACAACATCCGACAGCGATAGAATATTGGTTCAGGTATAACGATTAACGATTCAATAATAATAATAATAATGATATGTGAAGATTTTTAAGGTTTTTTGTCGTACAGGTGCATGGATTTGGACGGTGACGGTTACCTTTCGATGTACGAATTGGAATATTTTTACGAGGAACAACTTCAGAGGATGGAACTATTGGGTATAGCAACGCTACCCTTCGAAGACTGTCTTTGTCAAATGTTGGACATGATTCATCCTCAAACCGAGGGAAAAATATCATTGTCCGATTTGAAAAAATGTAAAATGGTTACCATATTTTTCGACACATTTTTCAATTTGGAAAAATATTTGGATCACGAACAAAGGGATCCGTTTGCATCACAAAGAGATCACGAAGCCGAAGGAGAGGTAAACAAACAAACAAACAAACAAAAATTTTCTTTCTTTCCTTTAAAAAAAATAATTATTTACTCTATGAATTTCGTTCAGATGTCAGATTGGGACAGGTACGCAGCAGAAGAATACGAAATTCTCGTGGCAGAAGAAGAAGGAAACGATCACGGAGACGAATTGTAAGTATCATCATAATCATTATTATTATTATTATTAGTAATCGGGAATCGGATTCGATCATTGAGTGAATGAATGAATGAATGATTGATTGATTGATTGATTCGTTTTATCAGTTAATTAATTCGGTTCTATATTAACAAAAAATTTCAGAATTTTGGAAGACGAGATGTAGCCGAAAAAAAAAAAATTTTTATTTGTAAGTAAAATAAATAAAAAATATTTGTTTGAATGTCAAAGCACGTTATTATTATTATCATTTACTCTTAATCACGACAAATTGATTCCGTTTGTCGACGTTAATCGCGTGCGTTTGCTTTTATTCCAGGTTTCTATCTAATCTTTTCCTTATAAATAAATGCTTAATTATCATTATTATTATTCATTCATTTTATTGATTATAATTATTAATTAATCTTCGATGAGTAATTAAACAAACGTCGTCCCGAATCCTTTCCTATTTTTTGTTTGTTTTTGTTTGTTGTGTTTGCACAACCTGTCGAAATATAACCTTAAATTTCTTTTTAATATAACTAAAAATGGCGTGTAGTAAATCAAAAAAAAAATGGCGTATAAAAAAAAAAATGATTTTTCAGATCATACGATTCGGATGGGACGTCGTCAGATGGTGGTGGTGGTGGTGGGGGCGGCGTACCACCACCACCAACATTAGAAAAATTAATAAAAACATTTGAAGAAGTTGAAAAAATAAAAATATCATATCCGGATAATTTAAATGAAAAGAAAAAAAATCTCATTTCCGTTGTTAATTCGGAAGTGAGCCTGGCAAAAATATTCGAAACGGATTTCGAAACAAACGAAAACGGAAACATGAGAGTTAAAATTCCAAATACCGGAAATGGAAATTTTGAAACTGTAAAAAAAAAAACTCATATTAATAATAATAATAATAATAATACGTTTATAAATGCATGGGAACCATCGTCTAAGATAAAATTAAAAAATTATGAAAATCGTAATAGAAAAAATTCAGAACTCGATCGTGAAATGGCGTCTGCTTGACAATATAAACAAACAAACAAAAATTATAATTTTCAGTGTTAAATAAACCGAACAAAAAAAAAAAATCGTTAGTAAATTAAATAAAATATATATATATATATATATTTATTATAATATATATTTTTATGTTACCTGGATAATAATAAATTTTTAATTAAAATAAAATTTTCATTTATTTATTTATTATTATTATTATTAATGTAATTTATTCGGTTTTTATTAAAAAAAGTTTTCATAGTTTCATTATTATTATTATATTATAAATATTATATTTATAAATAAATAAATAAATGGTTTATTTATCACATATTATATATATATGATGATAAGCGTTATCATCGTTATCAAAAATGATAATAACATAATTATTTTAGTATATTAGATAATATTTTTAATTTAAAAAAAAAAGTGAGTTTTATTTGTATGTGCCTTTATTTAAAATACTCTTTTAATTAAATAAATAAATTTATTAATTAATAAATAAATAAATTTTTTTTTAATTAATAACATCTTTTCATTAACACGTTATGTTAATAATATTAATAAATAAATAAAATCAAAACCTTGTCGTCAAAAAAAATTTAATGTTTAACTTATGTATATTAATAATAACCTAATTTTTATTTTTTAATAAATTGACGGATTTAAATTTTTATTACAATAATAATAATAATAATGAATGTTTTGACCGTGAGTCTAGTTGTAGCCGTGAAGGCTATCATTATTATTATTATTATTATTATCATTCGTCTATAGTATTATTATTTATATTAGCACATTTTGGTTTAGTTATTATCGAGAATGGAAACTCGTCGGTTTTGTGTGTTAATTTAATTCGCGTTTTTTTTTTTTTTTCACGTTAGTTACGTAAAAACGTATGAACGTCGGGAAATCTCCTTCCACCCCTCCACCCCTCTTTCCATACCTCTACCTTCTTCCCTCCCTCCCCCCACTCATCTCCGTTACGCGTTATTACCGTGATGCTCCTGTTGTTGATGCTGTTGATGCTGTTGTTTTAATATGTTGATTATTATTGATTATTGGAAAAAATTTAAGAAAAAAAAAACGACAAAATAATAATAATAATAATAGTAATAATAATTCGTGTGACGAATTTAAATGAATTTTTTAAAAAACAAAAAGAAAACACAAAAAAAAAAAAACAACTCAAGGCTGGTTATGGCAAAAAACAAAAAAAAAAAACAAAGAATTTCGTTTGTTTTTCTTTTTTTTCTTTTTTCTTTAAATAATAATAATAATAATAATAATAATAATACTTGTTTTACATATATAAAAACATTGTTTAAAAAATTATTTATTTATTTATTCTTCTTTGAAAAAAAAAGAAATGTCATTTTGTTTATGGTTTTTTACCGAAAAAATTTACACGAATTTAAGGGTGAGTTAATATTTATTTAAATCCCCTAAAATTAATTATAATCATTATCATTATTATTATTATTATTATTTTAATCATCTGACGTAACGAACGATTTCCGTTAAAATACGTTAAAAAAAACAAACGATAATTAAAATGTTTTCTTTTTGTTTTGTTATGTTTTTTAAAATAAAATTCATCGATACGTTAACATTTTTTTAATTTTAAAGTTGTCATCAAACAAACAAACAAACAAACAAACAAATATTAAATTAATAATAAATAATCTTATCGATAACGTAAAAAAAAAAAAAGATAAAAAAAATTTTTAACTTTTTTATAGTGATAATGACGCAATTTTTTTTTTTTTGACTGCAAATGTGTTATGAAAATGGGAGGGAAAAATAAAAACATAAAAATTTTTTTCTATTAAATTAATATAATTTTAAATAAATAAATATATATTTACTTATGTACATAAATAAAGTGTAAGTGTGTGTGTGTACGTGCGTGTGCGAATTTATTTATTTATTTTTTTGCATAAAATGATTCGAAGACCGACAATTTATCGTTCCAATAAATCATTTAATCAGGTGAGAAAAAAAAATAATAATAATAATAAATGCGTCACGTGTTTATTTATTGTTTTCCTACGTATTAATGATGATGATGAAAATTTAGGGTCCGAAAACATTATCGACAAAAGAATCAACGAGAATAATTAAATTAAAATTAGGAGAATCATCATCATCATCATCATCATCATCATCATCATCATCTATTAAATTTGTATCGAATAAAATAATAACGTCAAAGGTGAGAGAGAATTTATTATTATTATTATTATTATCATTACCGATAACGAAAGAAAAATTTTCCAGTACACGGCATGGAATTTTTTACCAAAAAATTTATTCGAACAATTTAGAAGAATTGGAAATTTTTATTTTTTATGCATCGCCATCATATCCGTAAGTTAAACGAAATAAAATTTTCTTCTTTCGATTTAATTTAACCAAAAAAATAAATTAATTATAATTAATTTAAGCTCGTTATCGAAAGTCCAATTTCTCCAGTCACAAGTATAGCACCATTGGTTTTTGTAATAACAGTTACTGGAATAAAACAAGGTTACGAAGATTATCTTAGACATAAAGCCGATAGAGAAGTTAACAATTATCCAGTTACCGTTATAAGAAAAGGAATATCTCAAGTAATTAAAAATTTAATATCAATTTCCTTTTATTATTATTATTATTATTATTTCGTAACCTTTTAATTTCCAAAAAAAAAAAAGGTCATACCGTCGAAATCCATTAAAGTCGGAGATTTGGTTAAAATAATTAAAGATCGAGACATACCCTGCGATCTCGTACTTCTCATGTCCAGCAATTCCGAATCAAAATGTTTTGTTATGACTGCTAATTTAGATGGAGAAACGGATTTAAAGGTGATACGTCACGTTTTAATTATTATCGATACCGAGATTATTCGATTAATCGATATATCGATTCATTTCAATCAATAACGTTACAGACACTTCACTGTCCGAAATCTTTGAAAAAAATTATTAATAAAGAAACGGATCTTTTCGGGGATTTAGAAGCAACGATTAAATGTGAAAATCCAACGGCTAATTTATATAAATTTCACGGTAGAATCGAATACGATGCCAAAACGTCAAATTATTTAAGAGAATCCATTATTATTCACGATCGTGGCGAATCTTTTTTAACGCCGAATCCCCGCGAAAATAATTATATTATCGATACGAATAATTGGGAAAACGGTAAAAAAAAAACCATTTTATTTATAATAATTAATTAATAATAATTAATAATTGTCGTTCTTTTTTTAACTATATGTACAAAGACGGAAACGATTTAGATATTGATGAAAATATCGATGATTGGACGATGAACGACCGTTACAATTTAAATGATAAATCGAATCACGTGATTTTAAGAAAAAATTTCATCGCTAAAAGAACGGAATCGTTTCCTAAATCCGCAATTAAAACGCATAAGAAAACATTATCGAACGTTGAAAGAATGAGTTTTAATTTGGAAAAAAATGGGAGCCCTTTACTTAAATTAAAAGATTTATCGTACGAGAGAAAAACGTCGCTTTTTTTAAAAAAAGTACCCTCGTCTATGCAGATAAATAAAAATAGTCGGCGGCCATCTTTGACGAGCGTCGATGGAAATTTAACGGATCCTCTTTCATCTGAAAATTTACTTTTAAGAGGTTCAAAACTTAAAAATACTGATTTTATTTATGGTATTTTTTTACTTTATTTTATTATTAATAATTATAATAATACATTGTTTTTTGTTTGTTTTTTTCTAATTTTAAAAACTTGAAAATTTAAAAATTTTTTTAAATTTGTTTTTTTTAGGTTGTGCCGTTTATACGGGAGGAGACACAAAACTCGCGCTTAATTCAAAACTCACGAGTAATAAATTTTCAACGGTTGAAAAATCAATAAATAAATATTTAATTTTTTATTTGGGATTATTAATTTTTCTTGTTGTCGTATCGACCGTACTTAAAATTCTCAAAGAAACAAATAACGGTTACGGTGAGTAGTAATTATTATTATTATTATAATCATTCCATTCTCACCCAAGCAGCAGAAAATGTTAGAAAACCATCGTGGCTCAATATGCATTTGATAGTATCTAATATTATGCATGCTGGAAGATCGTACCTTCTAGAAAATGTCTTCGTACCTTGTGCATCGATGTGATTTGCTTTTATATGTAATATTTTTTCATCCACGTCCAATGTTATTTCCGCTGGTAAATATTCTCTTAAATCAATCGTTACTTCTATCCCGTCTTTTCCCAAATTACATTCGTCGATCCCTGTAAAAACGGAAAACCTTTTTGTATTTTCGAAAAAGTATTAATAATAATAATAATAATAATTTGCGTATTATTTACCCGCTTTGTGAGTAACGATTTTCGATTGTGCATTTTTTACATTTACGTGTACCACCGATTGATTGGCATGATGAGCGGATAATTGTAGAGGATTAGAAGTCCCGGTCGATGTACCGACTGATGCTGCATTTCCTGGAGAATTCGATGGAGATGTTGAAGATAACGGTAATGCCGGATGATGAGGGTCCGATATGTGACAAGGGGATTCGGAAAGTGGCAAACCGTTAATGGGACAAAACGGATATGTTACCGGTGGGGGAGGTTGAAGTGGTGCACCACCGAAAGGGATGCAATAGAGCAATTGTCCCTGTGCCAGAAAAGATTTTAATGCTGATAATTCCATAAGAGTCTGTTGAGCAGATCTTTGTGCTTCTTTAAACAATTTCTGTTGTAATATTTCAAAGGCGTAAGCCTCCGAATTGTTATAAAAAGAATTTCCTCCCATTATTTACAAAAAAAAATATTTAACCCTTTTTTTTTTGGTTTTTTGTTTTTTTTTTTTTTTTTAACGAAAGGGAGGCCAACAATTTGTAATTTAAGACATTCTGGAAAAAAATGAAATACTTAAACCATAACGAAAATAAAAAATAATCGATAACAATAATAATAACTTACTTTTTCCCAATTTTTTATTATTTTTTTAATAAATAACTTAAATGGCGAATTTTGTTTTGTTTTGTTTTTTTAAAAAAAAGTCGTGGTTTTAGAAACTTTTTGAAAACTCGCGACACAAATATTAACGATGACGTACATACTTTGTGCGCGCTCGCGTGTGTGTGTATATAACGGTTAAAAATAAATAAATAAAATTTAGGGGAGGAAAAAAAATTTTTTTATTAATAATGCCGAATGGGAGTCAAACATGGGGAATAAGGGATGTTATCGATTTAGTTTTTCAACCCCTAATATGCATATTATTTATTTATTTTATACTTTCATATATATTTAAAATTTTAAAATATGTCATAGCCGGATGTGCGATCGGTGCTGCTTTATATTTCCTCGATAAAACTTAAAACTCAAAACAAAATTTTATTTTTAGTTTAATAATAATAATGTGTAAGAGCGAAACATTTTTTATTAAATTAATTAACAATAGATTTGATTTGTTAATTTATTTTGTTTTTTTTTTTTTTTTTTGTTTTGAATTTCAGAAATCAAAATTCCTTATATTGGCAATGATGAAATTAACGATATTAATTTTTCATCCGTTTTAAAAGATTTTTTTTCTTTTGTCGCACTTTATAATTATGTCATACCGATATCTCTTTACGTGACTTTGGAATTACAAAAATTTTTAGGAACACTTTTTTTCGAATGGGATTTAAGAATATACAACAGCGAAACCGATGAAACCGCCATTTGTAATACGTCAGATTTAAACGAAGATCTAGGACAGATAGAATATCTATTCACGGGTTTGTTTATCATTTTTTTCCCCCTTTTTTTTTTTTTTAACTTATCCTTAAATTTTAATTAATTTTGATTTTTTTAAGATAAAACGGGTACTTTGACAAAAAATGAAATGCAATTTGAAAAATGTTCCGTAGATGGTGTCAAATACGAAGAAAAAAATGGAAAATTATATCCTTTGATTGGAGAACAAGGAAAACCTGATTTCGAATCAGGTCCGGTCGACCTTAAAAATTGTTCGGTATGTGTCACAACATTGTAACAAATTTTCTATATCATATTTAAACAATTTGTCCATTTAATAATAATAATAATCACACAGAGAGAAATGGAATTGTTTCTTTGTGCATTGACCCTTTGTCACACCGTACAAACGACAAATGGCGGTGAAAATTTTAATGCAACGAGTCCAGATGAAAAAGCTTTGGTTGAGGGTATGAAAAAATTAGATATAATATTCGAAGATGATGATAATGATATGATTGCTGTTAAAATATTAGGTCAAAGTAAAATATTTAAAAGGTTGGACATATTGGAATTTTCATCTGGTGAGATTTTAAATTTGAAATTTTGTAAATTTTTTTTTTTTTGTTTGTTTGACGACCATTTTTTTTTAAATGACCAGAAAGAAAAAGAATGTCTGTGATAATTGAAGATGATGAAGGAAATATAATATTATATTGTAAAGGAGCTGAAACTTCTTTGATTCCTCAAGTTAAAAAAGGACCAAAAAAAATTACGTTGCAACACGTGGCTGATTTTGCTACGGTCAGTAACTAACCTTAAAATAATAATGATGACTCTATCCTAATATTAAAATTAAAAAATTTGAAATTTTAGCAAAGGTTGAGAACCCTCGTCGTAGGTTATAAATTTTTATCACGTGATCATTATGAAAAAATATCAAACAGATTAATAAACGCTCGTCAAACGTTATCAGGTGAAAGAGAATTGATAGTGGCTGATACGTACAGAAGAATAGAATCGAATTTAACAGTTTTGGGAGCAACAGGAATCAAAGATGATATTCAGGAAGATGTACGAGAAACATTAACGAGTTTAAAAGAAGCTGGAATAAAAGTAAGTGTGTACCACAAATTGATCCAAAAAAAAGTTTTCCTTTTTTAACAATTTTTTTATTTATATAAAAAAGGTTTGGATGCTCACTGGTGATAAATTGGAAACTGCTGAAAATATTTCATTGGATTGCGGCCATTTTCACGATAATTTTATCAGGCTCGTTTTGCGAGATCAAAAAAGTCCAGATTCTTGTAAAAATATTTTAACGCAATTTTTGTAAGTTGTGTAACAAAATAAGTTTTTTGTCAATAAAACAAAAACAAACTCCAACGTTTTTTTATTCATTCATTCATTTAGAGAAAAAGTAAGGGAAGATGATTGTAAAAAATTTGGTTTGATTGTCGATGGTGAAAGTTTAACAACATCTTTAGCTTATAACAAAGATTTATTTCGTGATGTATGCATTCATTGCACGGCCGTTATTTGCTGTAGAATGTCACCACTACAAAAAAAAGAAGTTGTTAAATTAATTAAAGATCAAAAACAATCACCTGTAACGGCCGCCATTGGTGATGGTGCCAACGATGTTTCAATGATACAAGAAGCACATATTGGAATAGGTAAATAATTTATTCCCACATTTAAAAAAAAAAACAATGACTTCAGGTTTGTTTTTTCTTTAAGGTATTATGGGAAAAGAAGGTCGTCAAGCAGTTCGTTGTTCGGATTTTGCATTTTCAAAATTTAAATATCTTAAAAGAACTTTTTTAGTTCACGGACATTGGTATTATTTAAGGGTGGCAACACTGGTACAATATTTTTTTTATAAAAACATTGCATTTGTTTTACCACAATTTTTTTTTATTTTTTTCTCTGGGTAACTACTATTATTATTATTTTACAACCTCATTCTCCTTTCTTTTTCCTTTTGTCAGCCATTTTTTTTTAATTAACAGGTATTCCGTTAAAACTTTATACGATGGAGCATACCTAATAGGTTTTAATACTATTTTTACATCTTTTCCAATATTAATTTATGGTTTATTTGAACAAAATTATAAAGATGATGAATTGGAAAAACTACCAAGTTTATATTTGATACATAGAAAAAATGCTTTGATGTCATGGAAAAATTTTGCTTTGTGGTTTTCATTAGGTAGGGAAAAATACATTTTTATAAAAATTATACCTTGATTTTATAATTATTTAAGGTTTAAAATTTTTTTTTTTCAGGTATATGGCACAGCCTTGTTGTTTTTTTTTTACCAACATTATTCTACCTTAATAATTCAACAGCTTTTATTAAGGGAAAAGATATTTTTTTAGAATCTTTTGGTACTTTAATATTTCATTGTAGTGTAACGGTTGTTAATCTTAAGGTCAGGTCAAATATTTTTCTCTGTTTATTTGTAGTTTTTGGAAAATTGTTTTAAAATAAACTTTATTTAACGTACTTTGGTTGACATTAGTTTAAAAAATTAAAATAATTACATTTGAAAAAAAAAAAAAAATTTTTTTTTCTAGCTTTTTCTACATTCAAAGCACTGGTCGAGTGTTTTCATAAGTTCCATTGCACTTTCTATCATCGGTTTAGTTTTATTTTCAGTTATTTATTCTTTTGTTTTTGTGTAAGCTATTTTTCTTCTCTTTCTTTCTTTCTTTTTATTTATATATATTTTTAAATAGAATTAAAAAATTTTTGTTTTTTTTTTTTCAGTGAAAATTTAACTGCCAATAATTATTGGGCTTATTTAAACCTATTAGGATCTCCAAGTACTTGGTTAATAATCATCATTATCTGCGCAGTATCATTAATTCCAGATTTTACCATAAATGTTTGGAAAGATTATTTTTATTTAAAATCTTCTACATCAATCAATTAAATTTTTCAACATTCACTATAAAATATTCAATTCAGACAAAAAAAATTAATTTAAATATATATTTAATAAAGTTTAACGTAAATTTTTTCTTTCCGCCAAGGATTAGAATGATTTAAATAATGTTTTATGCAAAATACGATTAAAATAAATATTAAATAATTTAAATTTAAATTGTTTTCAAATTTTCTCAAGAGTTAATTAAGTGAAACAGAATATTTTCCGTTTGTTTAGCGTAACGATAAAGTAAAAAAAAAAAAAAAAACGCGCAATTTGAAATTAATCTACTGCCACGTACAAATTTTTTCTTCATATATAATAATTATTAGTTAATACGTGTCAAAAGAAACATGAAAGGTAAATACGTCGTTGTAGGTTATTTTTAGAAAATATATAAATTTTTTTTTTTGTTTTGTTTTGTAAACTAAACGAAAATTAGCCACCCACATTTTCCTCAAAATTAAACATTACGTCAATCGATTGAAATATGTAGGTTAAATATTTTCATTTACATTTTAATATTATATTAAATAATTATTTTTTATTATTTAGTTATTCAATTGTTTCGCAATTTTATAAATGTTACTACTACTGAACGTACTACCCGTCTGAATTTACCAAGGAATTACTTCTGCCAAAGAGCTATACATTTAGGAAAATATCAAATGGCTAATATTGATAAAGAAGATTTAAAAAAACGTTTAACTCCTATACAGTATCATGTAACACAGGAAAAGGGAACGGAACGGTGAGTTTAAAAAAAAAAAAATATTCTTTAACTAATTAGAACAGTATAATTTTAGTTTTGCCCTTTCACATTCTATTCCTAATTTTTTTTAACAATCAAATCAATTAATGTTGAAAATAATGAGTTTAGTTCTCGACATGAACTTGAAGATATTAATTTAATTTTAAATAACGCTTTTAATTATAAACAATGACTTGAACGATTTACTCCAAGAGAGGTTAATTATTTATTTGTTTTATTAAATTATAAAAAATTTCATTTATTATGAACTTATAATAATAATTAAACCTGATCATTTACACTTAGTTAGTGCAATAGCAAATTGAAAAAAAAAAAAAAAAATGTCATACTCGTAATTTACAATATTAAAATTATTCTTTATCTAAAAATTTATTTGATTATATTGATTTCCAGTCCATTTTCTGGATGCTATAACAAGACTAAAGACTCAGGGACTTATACATGTGTAGTTTGTAATGAAGAATTGTTTTCATCCAATACCAAATTTGAATCAGGTTGTGGGTGGCCAGCATTTAGCGATGTGATTGATCAAGGGAAGGTCAAATTATCAAAGGACACATCTCACAGTGAGCATTTTTTTTTTTTTTTTTTGTTTTTTTACTACCACCTTATTAAAAAAAATTTCCTTTCTCTTTTAAATTCTTTTTTTAATATATAACTTTAAGGTTTAGGTATATAAATGAACTTTCACTTTTCTTTTTATTAAAAAAAAAAACCTCTTAATTAAGCATTATAAATGTATCATAATAGGCACACACTTTCATCATAAGGAATTTAACATTTATCGAAATATATTTTAAAATCGATAAAAAATTGCACACTTTAAAAAAAAATTTTACATTAAAAATTTATTTTTAATCATTTGTAAATATTTATTATTATTATTATTATTATTATTATTATTATTGTTATTTGGATGACTGCCATTTACACTAAAATAAAATGAAAAAAAAATTTTTTTATTTTTGCTTTCTGCTTAAGGCAATCGAAACTTAAAAATTCTTTTTTTTAAATAGATTTTATACTTTTTTATCAGGGTGGGGAGAGGGGGGGTATATTAATTTATTATAAAAAATTTTATTACATCTTATAAATCATTTTCCTTTTAAGCAAGTTTTGTAAATGTTTAAAATGTTTAAATGACGTATTGTATTGGTTGCCAAAAATGGAATCAAATATGAATAAACTTTAAAATATTTAATCAAAACTTGCCAAATAAAGTCACAAAAAAAAAAAAAGAAAATTTAATTCGTCATGACAGAAAACAAATATTAAAAATAAATTTTTATTTTAGTTAGATTCGTGTGCATACACGCACACACACACACACACACACTAGAGGTAAAGGAAATTTTTAAATAAAAAAAAAAGGCATCTCACTAAAAAGAATACAAAAAAAAAAAAAAAAAAAAAAAGAATTAATGATCTTTTAAATTTCTGATATATTTTTTTCTTTTTTTTCTCTCTCTCTCTCTCTCTCTCTCTCTCTCTCTCTCGTTTCTTGCACTTATAATAAAATCACATAACCTGCTGATTTTAATTTTCCTTCCTCTATTGCTTACTTCCTTTTCCGCTTTTTTTATTTATATTAACTCAATTGAATAATATTGCAAAAAAAATTACAATTTTCCCATTTTTAAATTTCCCGCGTTTTTAAATTTTCCATCTCTCTCTCTCTCTCTCTCATAAAACCCGGCTTTTATTTTTCTCTCATCTATTTCTTTTCTTCTTCTTCCTCTTTTTTTTTTTTTTTTTTTTTTTTTTAACAACTAATGCATTTTAATAAAAAATCAGTTGGCGCAAACCTACTATTAATAATCGCAAACCCAGGTATGGTGAGAACGGAAGTGACGTGTGCAAATTGTGGGGCTCATCTGGGTCACGTGTTCAACGATGGTCCAAAACCTACGAAAAAAAGATATTGCATCAACAGTGCGGCAATGAATTTTCATCCGAATAATTCATAATAAATATTGGGATAAAAATAAAAAAAAATTAATAAAGGAGAAGAGGTATAAATAAATTCAATATCAATCAATTATTTTATTAAAAAAAAACGAGATCTCGAACTCGAAGTTCGATAGTATAAATAAATAGATTAAAAAACTAGTCAGAAGAAAGAAAAAAAAAAACGTTTGTTTTGTAAATTTTTTTTTTTTTTTTTTTTTTTTTAATGAATTTGAACAATTTTTATTTAATTACGGTTGTTAATTACGAGTCAACAACCCCAACAACACCAATAACACCCAAAAAAAAAAAAAAAAAAAAAATTAAAATGTTTAATATAATATTATCGGCTGTTTGTAGCTTTATATTATTATTATAATTATAACTATATCTATATTTATATTTATATAAATGTTTAGTTTTTATTTTATTTATTTATTTATTTATTTCGTGTTTATATTTTCATCGAATTAAAAATTTAAAAAAAAAAATAAAATTACATATCGTGTGGTAAAAAAAAAAAAAAAAAAAAAAATTAAAAGGGTAAATTTTTGTTCGCAGGATTCGAACTTTTTTTTTTTCTTATTATTATTATTATTATTATTATTATTTTATTAACTCCTGAGTGCGTGTGTACGTGTGTGTGTGTGTGTGTGGGTGTGCGCGTGTTTTATCGTATTTATATTTGGTACCGCGTCAAAAATAATAATATAGTAAATAAAACATGAGGGGGGGGGAAGGGAAATAACATGTAAAAGTTTTATTTATTTATTAACCTGAATTTTTTTCTTTTGATTTAAATTTGATTTAAATTTATAATTAAAAAGAGGTTGGTTTTGTTTAAATATTCGTTACCATTTATTTAAAAAAAAAAGAAAAATTTTTTTGCCAGTAAATAATTTAAACAAAAAAAAGCGATCGTTTGTGATTTAATATTTATAAATTTTGTGTTTGTTTGTTTTTAATTAAATTTTTATGTCCGTAATTAATCTCATATAAAACTAAATAATTTTATTTATTTATATATATATAATTTGACGTATTTTTTTCTTTTGATCTGTTTTTTTTATTAATCAATTAAAATATTTATTATTTTGAATAAATTTATTTATTTTTATTAAAGTCTTTATTATGATTCCTTTTTTTAATGCTTAAAAAAAAATAAATAAATATGAGTAAAGTTTTAATATTTACAAATGAGATCAATAATTATAAATAAATTAATTAATTAAAGTTATTAAATTAAATTAAATTAATTCTTGTAAACTTTCAAATGTTTTTTTCATTTTTCTTTTTTTTCTTGTTAATTTTAATTGGATCCATTTCCAAAACGTTAAATTTTTTTCATTTTTATTCTCAACTATGTAATGAACTTTACTTAATGCGTCACGCATTAAATTTATTTCAATATCATTTGCATTTGGTAAACCCTAAAATTAAATTTTTTGTAAGAAAAACATGGGAAATATTTATAAGTTTGTATTAAATAATTTTTTTTTTTTTTTTACCTGTTGAAAATAACAAACGATTGTAAAATGAACTTTTTGTAAAAATTGTATCGTGTTGTAAATTGTTTTTGGTGTGAGAGAACCTCCTGTTAATTCTGGTGTCATAATCACGAGGAGTCCCCTGTAAGAATTTGCTTTTGCTTTTAACTCATCCTCACCTAATAAAAAAAAAAATTTTTTTAATCCTCCTCTTTCTTCCTCCTTCCCCTCCTCCCCCCGCACCAAAACAAAGAAAAATAGTTGTAATCCATACCTATTTCTAATCGGTTACGAATAGGATGAAAAGAACACGAATAACGATTTTTATTCGTTTTTATCGTTGATAATAAATTATCCAATCCGTTTCCGACGTCCTTTTCGTTATAAATAATCAACAAATCTTTTTTATCCTCTTCTGGAAAGCATTCAAATAAAACGTTTTATTAATAAAAAAAAAAAAAAAAATTTTGTAACATTATTAAACCTGAGATTGAGTTTACTTACGATTAGTTAAAGATGAAGAGAAAATTCTTTTGCTCCAGAGTCTAAAACGGGAACCGAAATACAGGAAAGTTATCGTGGATGCAACAGCAGAAAAAAAAAGGAATAAAACGATGACGTAAAATTCGCAAATGGCGATGGGAATTTTTCCAGATGAAGTCACATACACTGGAATGTCTGGACAAAGAAGAAAAAAAATTAATAATAATAATAATAATTAAACTTCCAATTTCTTTATCCTCACCTTCATCAACGTTTTCGTCTTTTTTTTTCTTTTTCAGCCAAGCGCTTAATTCCACTACCTGACCTTCAAGATTTTTAACTTTACATTTGTATTGTCCATAATCTTGAGGTCTAACTGACGTAAAACTCAAATAAGATCCAATAACCCTTTTTTCTTCCCTTAAAAAAAAAAAAAATATTTAATTTAAGGTACATATTTAAAAAAAAAAAAAATTTTTTTTGTAAAGTAAATTATAAGTACATACCTGGAAATGTTTTCTTGAACGACGCTCACGTTATCGATAAATGATTTCTTCGTGTTATTTTTTCCCAAAGGATTTCGCTTTGATAATCCGGAAGATCGATGGTTCCTATTTAAAAAAAAAAAAAAAATAAATAATATTAATAATAATAAGAGTGAAATCCGTTTACGTCATGTCAACTTATTTAAATTAATTTTTAATAGTTTTTTTTTTTTTTTTTAAATTTAGTAATTTATTTATGTATTTATATATGTATCAAAAGTTTTGTAATTTAATCTAATTTATTGTAATATACCATTAATTTTTTAATATAAATAAAATTAATTTTTTATATTATTTGTTTTTTATTTGTACTCCTGATTTGAAGTGTGAATCCATTGTTTGTATCTTGTTTTACATCTTCATTTTTTTGTTTCCCTGATACATTTTAACATATTTTCCCATTAAAAAATTATTAAAAATACTTGTAGTTAATTAATTTAAGGTATTGGGTGAATATAAAATCTCCATACGCCTAATTTTAAGCGAGAATCCATTGTTTGAATTTTATTCTAAGCGGGAATCCACTGTTTACATTTTATTTTAAGTAGGACGACCTTTTACTAACAAGGACGCCAGTTTTAAAATTTCAATTTTGTGAAAATTTTCATGGTCACGTTTTTTCCACCAAGGACGACCTTGTTTACGTTTTACTTTAAGTAGGACGACCTTGTATAGATTTTACCTGGCACACATTTTATTTTAAGCGGGAATTTTTTTGAATTATTTTACTTTTTACCTCTTTGGATCTCATGTTTTTCTGATACATAAGATCAAATTTTTCACTAAAGAAAGATAGAAGGGTAGAAACCTGGAATATATGTTGAAAAAGCTCCGACAAACATCAGGACGAATTGTCGTCATTATAATAATAATAATAATAATAATAATAATAATAAGCGGCATACCAGAATGCTATAATTGTAATGGGAAAACACATAGAAACCCACCAAGAAGACCCTATCTTAGCCCAAGTTATACATACGGAAGAAAAAATTACAAAAAAAAAAGGAGTATTGAAAAGGGCAAAACAAATCGTCCAAGAAAATAAAGAAAACGAGATAATGGAAGAAGGGCAACAAGCCCCAGTTCAGCTTAGGTCACATGTAGGTTCATGCACAGTTCTGTATGATCAACAAATCCACACTGATAATAATAATAAAATTTTCAAATACCTCCTTATGTTTTTCTGATACATAAGACCAAATTTTTCGATGTTTTTAGAGAAAAAAATTGTGACTTTTTGCGGGAATCCATTGTTTGAATTTTATATTACTTATCTATTATTACTTTTATATTACTTTATCTCCATTTTCTTATATTTGCCTAATTCATTATAACATATTTTGCCATATTTTTAGTGTAAAATTTCAATTAAGATTAGAAAAATTCTGAACTGCCTTTATATTGCTTAAGTTTATAGGTATAAAATTGTAATTTGTATACAATTTGTGCATAATTTAAGGATGTGAATGCATGAGGGAAAATTATTATATGGGGAGACAGTAGGAAAATTAAGTATTGAATTAGTTCTGAGGAAAAAGTTACATGATTACTGATTTATAATTGTAATAGAGTAAAATGATAACAAGATAAAGACAAAACCAAAAGGCTAATCTTGTTTTACTGTCGATCTGAGTCAGCTCAAAAATCCTTTCACTTCTCCTGTTCCTGGCCACTCCACAGATATCAATCACTGGAGCCCAGGAGTACAGGAAATAACTCGTTTCTATCAAATAAGATGGTCTCAGTGAGAGACTTACAAAAATTGTTATGATGCTGTTTAGGTTATAACAAGTCGAAACACATCCATCAGGCATTTATTCCTTTGGATAGAAACCTGGAATAAGTGTTGACCAAATCTCCGACAAAGATTAAGACGAATTGTCGTGATTATGAGTGAAGACAACAATAATAATAATAATAAAATCCTACCTACCTACGAAAGCTTCACAATAAAATCTTGCAAAATCTCCATGATTGGCTTTTTGATCTCTCGGCTTGTACGTTGTTTTAGGCCAACCGATTGATATCGACGGACCTGATAACAAAAAGATAACACACGCGGTATAGTTTACGTCTTTGTTTTTATCATTTTCGGTGAATCCGTAAAAATAATTTCAATTACCGGAAACTTCAAGTTGAACTTCATGTTGAAGAACGTGGGTGTCGTTTCTGACGACGCATTTATACTTTCCAGAATCGTCAAATGTCAATTGTTGAGAATAAATCGTTTGATTTCTCGATTCTGGATGAATTATTAATGTCGACACATTTGTTGACCAAGGATAAGGTTGGCCATCTTTAAACCTATAAGGTTTACAACAATTTTTATTTTTCCGTTAAAAATTTTCAATTTAAAAAAAAAAAAAAAAAAGTTTAACACAAACCATTCGATACTTCGATATCCGTGTGAACAACAATGAAGACTTTTAAATTTATTATTTATACCAAATTCATCGTCGCTGTTTTCTTTACTAAAATGAAGTTTTCCCATATTTTTCCCACCACCACTATCAAAAGTATTTTTTTTACAATAATCAATCATTGATAAACCACAATCGAAAAATAAATAAAACATAATTATTATATATTTAAAATTAAAATCCGTCATTTTAACAACAACAAACAAACAAACGAAACACTTTCCGGTACGAAAAATTAAATATAATCAATAATAATAATAATAATTAAATATTTGGAAATAAAACCGTTGACGAAAAACCAACCGACCGACCGATCAACCGACCAACCGTGTAAAAATTGATTTTCTCTTCTCTCCCATTTATTTTTGAAATTTTAATCAAATACCTGGAAGAATAAAATTAAAAAGTTTTGTAATGATAATAAATTCTTAGAAGGTCTTCAAACTATAAAATAAAAACGTTATTTTTACATCATGAACAACAAAAAAAAAAAAAAAAAATGGGAAATGAGAGAGAGAGAGAAAGAGAAAGAGGTGTGTCGAGAAGGTGGAGATCAGGTCAAGTTTTGTTATTATTATTATTATTTTGTTGAAATTTCACAATTAAATAAATATTTTTTTAAAATTTTTTGGAAAGTTTTCCCTCCCCCCATTTCCTCGCCTCCTCTCCCTCTCCCTATCCTTCCCAACTCCTTTTCCAAACCTCCTTCAGTCTTATATTAACCTTTCATTCATCATAAATTCATTCATTTATTATTATTATTATTCGTCTTAGAAAAAAAAAAAACGCGACCTTGTAAAAAAGGGGGGAGTCAACAAATCTTAAATCATCATTATCGTCATATAAAATAACCGTTGAATCATTTTTCATTAAAATTTCTAAAAAAAACAATGTCTCAAAATTTTAAGCCGGAGGGTTTTTTTTTATAATAATTAAAACGAACAAATTCAAAGAACAAACAAAAATTTTGTATTTAAAAAACGATTATTAGTAAATCGTTTACGTAGAAAAACATTTGATTCATTTTATCATTATCATAATTATTATTATTATTATTAGGTTTCTCAGAGTCTTCTTTCACATTAAAATCTTACGTAAATCACGTGTGGGGGGAAAGTTTCGTCGTGTCGTTAGATAAATAGAAAATGAATTTCCGCTCTCTTTTTCACTCATAATTTTTTTTTTTTTTTTTTACGTAATAAATTTAGATTTTCACGTATAAGGTTGCCATAGATTCAAATTATTCTTAGAAAATCTACGCAGTTGTCAGTCACCATAGAAAAGACCTCATTTTTTTCTTTTTAAATTTCTTTTTTTTTTTTTTATTTAAAAATAAAATCGAATTTCATTAAAAATCGTTAAATTAATAAAACCAAAAAAAAAAAAAAAAAAGCAACGTTTATTTACATCATTTCGAAACAAGTCAAAAACCGTTAAGATTTAAAAAAAAGAATGCGAAAGCAGAAGACGCGCGTGTAACAACTTTTTCCAATGAATCAAAGTTTTTCTAAGAATGAATTTAAATAATTATTGACTATTAGACATTATTATTATTATTATTATTAATCTTATTTTACGTAAAAATTACATAAATTTATGTAAAAACAAAAGCAAATAAATAATAATAATAAATAATAAATTACTTATTACTAATCCGTTTTAAAACTTGCTAATTATTTTTTTTTATCAATAAAACATTCGCATTTAAATTAAATTAAATTAAATAAAAAATAATTGAAATTGTACATCATCATTAAACTAATAAAATATCTCCATGATAATAATAATATTCCATTAATAATAATAATTTTTTTAATAAAAGGATTTTATTAAATATGTTAGCGTGTCTAAATAATATTATTTATGTATTAATAACTATGCTATTATTATTAATGCAATTTTCAACATAATTTACCAGAGTACATCGTTAATTTTAAAATACAATTATACAAATAATAATAATAATAATAATAATAATAATAATAATAATAAATTTATAAATTATTATTTTTTAAAAATTCCAAAACCGGTAATTAAAATAAATTAAAAATAAATTATTCAAATCGTTTGATTTAAAATTTCCATCGAATCCCCCCCTCCCCCGTATGATGATAAAATTATTATACAAAAAAATAAGTAAACTTACCCGCACAATAGAAATAAAAAAAAAAAAAAAAAAATTTACAATTAACAAAATAAAAATTTTTTCGACGCCATATTTAATTCTCGAACGTATATTCCCGCTATAACAATACGAATAAGCTTTTAACGTCAAAGCTAAAAGAAAAGCATGACTGTTTATTTCGTTAATTTCCGGATTCGTTCGGTCATGTTCGTGCGCAAGGTGCCCGGTTACACGGGAAAATCATTTCAGAACGGTAATAGATTTTTATTAGATTTCGATTATTTCTACTTCCGGTCAGTCGATAACAACGGTTCTACAATTTCGGTCGATAAACAATTTTTTTTTCTTTATGTAATTACTTATTGTTAATTGATTTTAATTAATTAAATTATTTTATTTTCTTTTTAATATGGAAAAAAAAAAAAAAACTCGAAATCGATACAAGTGAACGAAATATCATTTAAAAAAAAAATAAAATAAAACATTTTATTTGTGTTTTGACCCTTGGTTAATTTAATACGCCCCTTAAAAAATTAAATTATTACATTATTATAAAAAATATATAAAAAAACACCTTTACCCTTTTAAATATCAATGAAAATGTTATTTACTTTTGATTAATATGCAATTCGAAGTGAAAAACACGTTTTTATATTTTCCAGTTTTTTTTTAATAGAGTTCATTGTCTCATGTATGTAAAAAAATTTCCAACATTAACCTTTTTTTTTTTTTACCTATTTTTATTTAATTTAAACGCAATAAAATCATTTACATGAGTTTAAATAAGCTAAAAACTAAACAATTGTTATAATAATATAATTAAAATATTTAAATAAATACTCACAAACATTTTTTTTAAATAAATATTTTGAGAGTAAACAAATTGCAACATTTATTAATATTTATTTAAATTATGTAGTGACATATCTCTCTCTATAAATCAGTAATTTAAATATTCATTTGACTGGATTTTACTGATGATAATAATAATAAATTAAAATTTTTTTTTTGAGGTATCCTAAGGGCAACACATTGAACCTTATTCATAAGTAAACCAGTAAAAAAAAAATGTTTAAATGACAAATATTTTGTTAATGTTGACCCATGAATAAATAATTATAAAAAATTTTCTTTTTTTTATTTATTTATAAAAATAAAATGAAGATTTAATTAATGTATAATTTTTTTAAATACATGGATAAGTTGTACAACCAGATATTTCTTATTGAGTTTCATCATTTTATATTTAATTAGAACCAAAAAAAAAAAATTTGTGTCCTTCTTTTCCTAGTTTAAGTGTTTCCTCCTTTCTTTCTTCTGCTGACAAAAATATTCTATTTATTCTTTGACCTTCTTTGTTGTGCTTTTTGATTTCCTTTATATAATTTTCTTCTTCTATTAAATGATTTGATTGTGCGTGTAAGTTTGACATAATTTTATACCTTGTTTATAGTTTATCACCCAGGTGATAACAACATGCAAAGAAAGTAATTAATCTAGAAAAAAAAAAAAATTTTCTTTTAGATAACAATGTAAATTATGTTTGGTAACAAAAACTTACATATGGCCTTGAACAGTTTAAAAGTTTTTTAATTTTTTTTTTTTTTTTAATTTGCCTCCAACAAATTTAACAAAAAAAAAATATAATAATATAAAGTAAAATAATAATAATATAAAAAAAAAAAACTCGATATTAACCTTGGAGCATTCACGAGGAAGAAAGGAAAAAGAGGTAAATATAAGACTATGTGTATACTTTCATTAGATAAGCATTGTTGGGGGACAAGTTTGGGAGACGACGAGATATAAAAGAACGAGATAATTGGTGTTTCCGGAAAACCTGAAAAGTAGGCACGCAGTATCGATCGGAAAGAACCCGACAATAATTTACCGGAAAATTTTCATAGTTTTCTTTATTATTTTTTTTTTCTACCTAGCTAAGAAAAGTTTCGGTGTAAAAAAAAAAAAAAAACATTTTGGAAAAAGGACTCTCACACACTGTAGAAAAAAAAATTTTTTTTTTTTTTTTTTTGGTGGTTCGTTAAAATTATTTTATTAAAAATAATAATTTAATATTTAAAAAATTAATAATAATAAATTATGTATTTTTAGATTTATTAAAAATCAGATAATTTTTAAACGATAAATAAATACATAAAAATGGATTATTTCAAATTTCAACAAATTTTTATTATCGTATTAAATTTAGCTGTTGTTTGTAAATCAACCGCTCAACAACCACCTCATATAATTACAATACTTATTGATGATCTGGTAAGAAATTCATTAATAATAATAATAATAATAATAATAATAATGCATGCTTAATTTTAAGTCGCAATTACATTTTTCATTTATTTATCTAATTTATTTATAATAATAATAACAATAAATTTATTTAAATTATAAAATAATTTTTTTTTTTTAATTTATTGCCAAGTATTTCATTTATATCATAGTATTGAAGGTGAACCACTTAATTTCGAAAGACAATTGAAATAATAATAATATTATTATTATTTATTACCGAACTGATTTTTACAGGAAATAAATGTTACAGTAATTATTATTATTACTAGATGATTTTTTTTTTTTTAATTTTTAATCAGGGTTGGACGGATACGGGTTTTCATGGATCTGATCAAATAAAAACCCCAAATATGGATGCTTTAGCATATTCAGGTATGATTTTAAACAGGCATTATGTTTTACCCAGTTGTACTCCATCGAGAAGTGCTTTGCTTACAGGATTATATCCAATCAGAACAGGTATACTTAATAATAATAATAATGTTTTCCCTATGTTTTGTCGAAGGATTGTTTATCGAAAAAAAAATATTTTTAGGAATGCAAGGTATGCCATTAAAAGGAGGAGATGTTAGAAATTTACCACTGTCATTTAAATTAAAACCAGAATTTCTTAAAAATCTCGGTTATCGTACCCATTTGGTTGGAAAATGGCATTTAGGTTATAGAACGATAAACCATCTTCCAAATCAGAGAGGTTTTGATTCATTTTTCGGATATTATAACGGATACGTTGATTATTTTAAATTCGGACATAATCAAACAGTGGTAAAAGTTTTATATATTTGAATTTAAAAATAAAAAAATTTCATAGAATATATAAACACGCGTGTATACATTTTTTTTTTTTAAAAAAGGCCGGAGAAAAAATTGAATATTTTTACGGATACGATCTTCATCGAAACGGAGAAATTTATCAAACGGATAAGGATACATATGCCACAAGATTATTTACAAGAGAAGCAGAAAAAATTATTAAAAATCATAATGAGTCAGAACCTTTGTACCTGTATTTTTCCCATTTGGCAACCCATACAGGAGATGATGATATCGGTATGGAAGTACCTGAAGATGCTGACGTAAATAAAACTTATGGTCATATTAAACATTATGGACGAAGAGCATTTGCAGGTTAATTGTATACAACAAATTGTTTTAAAATTCAATAAACAAAAAAAAAAAAATTTTAATTAAAAATAAAACGGTTTAGGTTGTTTGGAAGAATTAGATAAATCCGTTGGAGAAGTTATGGAAGCATTAAAAGAAAAAAATATGTTGGATAATTCAATCATTTTGATTATGTCCGATAATGGTGGTCACACTGTTTCTGTTGATTTGCCGCCAAATTGGAGTTCGAATTGGCCTCTTGGAGGAGTAAGCCTAAACAATGAATAATAAACAGTGTAAAATGTTTTTCTATTTTCTTAATTAAACTTAATGTTTTAAATTTTAGACGAAATTTACACTGTTTGAAGGTGGTGTTCGAAGTGTGGCATTAATATGGAGTCCTCTTCTTCCAAAAGGAGTTATTAATGATGATTTTATACATATAACAGACTGGTTGCCGACATTGTATTCAGCTGCTGGCAAGTTTTTCCCTTTTTTTTTTAAAAACCTTTAGTCTATTTGTTACTAATTCAATATTTCAATACTTCCAGGAGGGAATCCTAAAGAGTTAGGAATATTTGATGGTATAGACCAGTGGGAAGCATTAAAAAGAAATTCAGCCGTAGCCAGAGAAAATATATTATTAAATATAGATGATAAAACTGGATCGGAAGGTAAATGAAATTAAATAACATTTTCTTTACAAATTTCCATCATCATTAATAAAAAAATTTAATCCATAGGAGTAATAATTGAAAATCGTTGGAAAGTATTAAAAGGAGGATACAAAACATACGGTAGTTATGATTTTCATTGGGGAAAACCAGAAAATATACATCCTAATCCAAAATACGATCCAAACGATATAATTAATTCTCAAACCGGTCAAATTGTATCGAATTTAAAACATTATAAAAATTCATTAAATCATAGCAGTATAGAAACGTTGAGAAAAAAATCAACCGTTACTTGTCAACCTCTTGTTAATAACATACCCATGAACGATTATGGATTCATCGAACCATCTCCCGAAGTTCGTTGTAAAGATTTTTGTTTATTCGATATAATTAACGATCAATGTGAAGTGAATCCCGTTGAAAATAACGAATTAATTAAATTTGGTAAAAAATTAATAAATCAATATAAAGATGAAATGATATATCAGATAACGTCGAGAGTCGAACGTGAATCCGATCCGAAAA